TCGGCCTCCCGGCGCGGCCACCTCCACCCCCGCTGCTCTTAGCGGCTCGGCGGTGGGGAGCGGGCCGAGCCCCTGCCCCGCGGCCGAAGCGAACCGGCTTTCCTCCGGCCCCCGCCTGCGGCCGGGCACCGTCCGGGTGCCGAGGGCGCTTCCCCCAGTGCCGGGGGGGGGGACCCGGGAGAAAATGCCGGCGGTGGCCCTAACGCGGACGGGGTCCGGCGGCTCGCAGTTAGCCGGCCTCCCCCGGGCTGCTGGGGGCCTCTCAGAAGTACATCTGAGGAGCAACTGATGCTTTCTGGTGCCAGTCCTTCCGGTCGTCTTTTGCCAAGTACATCCACTTCGACTTCTAACGTATTTCATCCTGGCAAGAAGTATTTCCTGAAGTACAAGAACTCATTTTCTTCTGTACTATCAATCAAAAAAACCCTAACCCATCAAACGACACCGTGAACGTCAAAGAGAAGATCGGTAACAAAAATAACCATTCGTCCATTTTAATAGCTCAAAAATAACAGAGTTAGTTACTATAGACATTAATCTAAATAAATAACTAAGGGAAAACACCCCATTGTGGCTGTCAGGCTTTGAAGAGGAAGGCTAGTTAGTAACTCGAGGCCAGAAGCGTTGATCTGAGTACCTACCTCACTGTTTTTTTCAGCTTTTTTACTTTCAGCTGAAAAGTTGTGAAGGAGGAAACACTTACTGTTTGGAAAAGGGGGGAAAAAAAAAAGCCACCAAGAAAAAGAAACTAAAATTTCAGAAGTGAGCATTTCCTATTTCACACGAACAGACATATTTTTTAAGCCACAGGAGTGAGAATAATAGTCTTACTCTGCTTTGAAAGCCTGTACCACCCTCCCCGTAGAAGGGCTAGCACCCTTATATAATTCTAAATAGCTCGACAAATATTAAAGAAACAATAGGTTACGGAAGCACCCAGCAAGTTAGATGAATGACTTTGATGTGGCAGGACTGTTATTTATGGCTGCAGATGCTGCTCACAATTTAGTCATCAGAAATGCAAACTGATCATAAATGCATAGAAACTGATACTTGCATACCGCTCTCTAACAACTTACCTACTTTTAATGCTGGTTTTGTATCATGAAAGTATGTTTTCCTGATGCTCCCTAAAGCAGTCGTCTAACCTGCACCCTGGTAACTCCACTCTAAAACTGGAATACGGCTTTAAAAGAGCTCCTCCAGAAAAGGCATAAGGATTCTTCTTAAAAATAAAACACAGCATGCTACCTGTGGCATGGAAGAAATTTTCATCTAGTTCTGAATAGCACTAGTTAGAACCTCAAACACCAGAAAATAACTTTCACAGTGCTTAAAGATAATACAAACCCCACCCTTGCATTTACTTTTCTGCAAGGCATATCACCCTGCTTCAGGTACTAGCACAAGTTGGGCATTTAGTATTTAAAAAAAACCCAAAGTTTACTGCAAAGAAACAAATCATATGAAAGCGCCCTCGGCAGGCATGTTTTTCAGGTTGAAGCAGTGCTGTGCAAATGCAGCTGTCCCAGTTCTGAACTCGAGCTGCAAAACGCTTTGCCACGTTGCTTTTAAGATCGAGTTGAAAGCCTCGCTTTGTCACCCAACTTACATGCTGTCATACAGACAATTCCTGTCTCCAAACCTGCCCTGCTCTCTGCTACCGCCTCACCTTGCTGGAGAGATGCAGCATGCCCTGTGGCTTGGTGACGTCTGCTGAATGGACAGCTATAGTTCGCTTTCTCAGTGGGAACACTAATTTCTCATCTAATAGTCGTTCCTTTTCAAAGATTATGTTTCGATGAGCATTAGGAAATTTCTATTCTTCTCTTGAATTTGGATGAATTGAAAAGCACGTGCAAAAGTTGTTAGGGTGCGGCATAAAAGAGTGTGATCCCATCAGCATCCCCTACTTAGGAAACCAGGCTTTAAAAAAGAAAATTTAAAAAAACTTCATTAGTCACCAGAGAAAGTCTTGCTCTTGGGGCTTCAGAAAGGAATAAAACCCACACCAGCCAGTTTTTCTTCCTTCTTGCAAGTATCCTTGGTGACCTCATTGCATTATCTTCTGCTGGGCTAGCCCTAATTTGGGGGAGTACTTGGACTGACTGTCTTTGTGCAGATATTGGAAATCGTGCAAAATGGCTACGCCAGGTTGCTACCCGCTAGCATATACTTGGTTCCAAGAAGCTTAGACATTCATATTTCTGCCCCAGTCAAGATCATATGCAGAACCATCACCTGCAGGCATACAGAGCCTTAAAACAACCAAAAAACTGCCCCCATAACCCCATGCTTTGTTCTCCTTCTATTTAGATGCTTGTTTGGACAGACTGAGGGCACGGGTCATTAGTTACGTAGACCTGTTAATGCCTTTTACATTTTATATAAAACACTTGGCATTAACAAAATACACTTTTTCTCAGCATCAACAAGTTAATGCCTTTTTGTATTCCTGCAGTCCTGAGTTGTTACTCCTGCTTGCAAGGCAAAAAGGCTCCCTGAGTGTACACTGAGAAAACACACAGCTGGGACATCCCATTTCACCAGGCCAAGTGCTCTCTGCTATAAAATCTTTACAATCCTTGACATGAGAGATGAATTACATCTCTTGTGGGTGAGCTACAAGTGAAACTGGTCCTTCAGTACTAACACATTTTAAAGAACAGCAATAAAATAGTAGCCAACAAGTTAAAAAAACCTCTTCTGAAAACACTCGTTGCTCCAGCATTCCACGCTCAGCACAAGAAAAACACAGAGAGCACTTTTATGTACAGTGGCTGCAAGCTTTTAGTACAAAACTCGGTTGACTTTGTAATCATACTTTGAACCACTCAACTCTTACTGTAATAAGGCGGTTAACTAGTTATAAAGTGATGTTTAATCATGGAGCCATATTTTATAGTTTACAGGATGTTAAATTGGAAAAAGTTTTGCTAGAACAGATTAAAAATGCAAAAAAAGAATAAATATTTCTTGAAAAATATACAGCAACTTATACATTAGCTGTATTTAAAAATAAGATTTTCAGAGGATTATTCCAAATAGTACATTAAAGCAGCTTGAATTTTACCAGGCAATAACAGTGTGCCCTGAAAAAAAAATGCTATCGGCTTAGAAAGACCTGAATAAGTAACAAAAATGTTTTCATAAATGGCAAACTCAAATTTCTTAGTGCAAGCTTCAGGAAAAATGGCATCAGAAACGCAAACCTCCATGATTCACATAAACCTTCTCAAATGTTAGTCTGGGGGTTTGGTTTTGCCTGGAACAGCACAGAAGTGTAAATGCGTTCAAGGGTTGAAGCCATTATTATCACAATATGGTTTGAACCAAACTAATAGCTTGCTGCTGCAAGTGAAGTTTGGCTTCCTCTCCTTACAATCCTCCTCCCTCCCAGCTTTGGACCGCTTGCTTTAGCTGCTCTTCTTGATCGGGCACCGGCACTCACTTGACTGCACAGCATACTGACAGGCCTGACATCTGGGGAATCTCAGTTCTGGCTCTGCCAGAGACCATCTTTGTTCCTAGCTCTCTGATGTGCTTAGAAAAAAAACCTGGGGGAACTTGATGTCGTGATTAATCTAGCTCCAGCTGTCTCCCATCAGACAGTGCCCAACCAGAAAACTCTTGAATAGAATTACTGAGTCAGCTTAATGTTAAATCGTTTTAAGATAATGATGGGCTTTTAGTTTGTTAAAAGTGAAATGGAAAAAAGGAGGCTGGACTAAAGGATCTTCAGAGGTGCCTTCCCATGTCCACAATTCCCTGATTTACCCTGGTGGTTTCTTCCCATGGGACGGCTGCCAGTGAGGGGGCTATAGGGGAGAGGACAGATAGATAAGCTCCTGTTATGCCATAAGGAGCCACAGGAAAAGGAAGTAGAAGAGGCTACGCTTTCTTTAAATAAACTTGTGCTTTTAAGGAAACCATTTTAAATTACTATATTCCTTATAGCAAACTTCCACCTCCCTTTCTGAAAAAATTTAAGAGGTAATCAAGGTAAAATTATTTCTAAGGTCATACTTCCTTTTATTCCATCTTACTTTCATGTCCAGATGCAAAAATTAATTGATTCCTCTATCATTAAATATTTAGTAATTTTAGTAGCTGAAGAGTTTATGGTACCACTGAAAACCATCTAACAGTGGAAGATCTTATTTCAGTTTACCCCACTATTTCGTAGCACACCTCAGCTAGACCTCAGGACTGTCTTGAGGAACTTTATCTCCACACAGATAGACAAAGCCCCCAAGCCAGGAGAACAAACTCTGCACCAGTAAAACCTAGAAGAACCTCCCATCACGTGCA